ATCCAAGCGGTGGTGATGTCGTGCTATGTAGTCCTAGGATAGTTGCTTGTAGCTTTTTTATCCCAGTGGTAACATTGTTGTGCTATGTGGTCTTATGATGGTTGCTGTGGCTTCCTTATCCAAGTGGTGGTGATGTGTTATGTTGTCCTAGAATGTTTGCATGTGGCTTCCTTATCCCAGTGGTGACTTATTGTGCTATGTTGTCCAAGGATAGTTGCCTGTAGCTTTTCTATCCTAGTGGTGGTGATTTCATGCTATGTTGTCCTAGGATAGTTGCCTATAGCTTTTTTTTAATCCAAGTGGTGACTTGTTGTGCTATGTTGTCCTAGGATAGTTGCCTGTAGCTTCTCTATCCAAGTGGTGGTGATGTTGTGCTATGTTGTCTAAAGATAGTTGCCTGTAGCTTCTTTATCCCAGTGGTGACTTGTTGTGCTATGTTGTCCTAGAATAGTTGCCTGTAGCTTCTCTATCCAAGTGGTTACTTGTTGTGCTATGTTGTCTTAGGATATTTGCCTGTAGCTTCTTTGTCCCAGTGGTGACTTATTGTGCTATGTTGTCCTAGAATGTTTGCCTATGTCTTCCTTATCCCAGTGGTGACTTATTGTGCTATGTTGTCCAAGGATAGTTGCCTGTAGCTTTTTTATCCAAGTGGTGGTGATGTCGTGCTATGTTGTCCTAGGATAGTTGCCTGTAGCTTCTTTATGAAAGTGGTTACTTGTTGTGCTATGTTGTCTTAGGATATTTGCCTGTAGCTTTTTTATTCCAGTGGAGACTTATTGTGCTATGTTGACCAAGGATAGTTGCCTGTAGCTTCTTTATCCCAGTGGTGACTTGTTGTGCTATGTTGTCCAAGGATAGTTGCCTGTAGCTTCTTTATCCCAGTGGTGACTTATTGTGCTATGTTGTCCAAGGATAGTTGCCTGTAGCTTTTTTATCCAAGTTGTGGTGATGTCGTGCTATGTAGTCCTAGGATAGTTGCTTGTAGCTTCTTTATCCCAGTGGTGACTTGTTGTGCTATGTTGTCCTAGGATAGTTTCCTGTAGCTTTTTTATCCAAGTAGTGGTGATGTCGTGCTATGTTGTCCTAGGATAGTTGCCTGTAGCTTCTTTATCCCAGTGGTGACTTGTTGTGCTATGTTGTCCAAGGATAGTTTCCTGTAGTTTTTTATCCAAGTAGTGGTGATGTCATGCTATGTTGTCCTAGGATGGTTGCCTGTAGCTTCTTTATCCCAGTGGTGACTTGTTGTGCTATGTTGTCCAAGGACTGTTGCCTGTAGCTTCTCTATCCAAGTGGTTACTTGTTGTGCTATGTTGTCTTAGGATATTTGCCTGTAGCTTCTTTATCATAGTGGTGACTTACTGTGCTATGTTGTGTAGGATAGTTGCCTGTAGCTTCTTTATCCCAGTGGTGACTTATTGTGCTATCTTGTCCTAGAATGTTTTCCTGTGGCTTCCTTATCTAAGTAGTGATGTTGCTTTGCTATGTTTCCTGTGGCTTACTTATTCAAGTAGTGGTGATGTGATGTGCTGCTTTAGGATGATTGCTATCCAATTGATAATGATATTCTTTGTTGGCCTTGGATGGCTTCTCTTTACTCCTCCATCTGTTGAACCTTGCAGTTTTTTTTTAACAACATGTCCATACCCTTTCAATCCCTTTCTCTTAATTGAAGATAATAGATGTTAATGTTTTCCTTTCAGTTTTATTATTTTCTAAAATATTTGTTGTTCAGAAGGGAATCTTTAACAATTTCTGTTCATATCTTATTTCAGAGTACAAGTACTGTTAAAGTACAAGTGTCACATCTATATAAAGCCATAAAGGTGACAGTCATTTTGATGGGTTCTATCTTTGTTGTCCTGCTTTTGTCCCACCAGACCTTAATGCAGTTGCTATGGCAATGATAATTTTCACTTTTGTGGTTATCTTCCATCTTCTGTGATTGTGGCTACAAGATATCAGAATGTAGTGTGTTTTAAAACATTGCTAGTTGAGATGTTATTAATGTTTTCACTAAAATTAGGTCTCTGTTAATATATTCTTTCCTATTGGAAAATCTTCACAGGTACAAATTCTCAGTGTTGAAATCTTAGTTTTATATCATTATGTTTTAGATCACTTTATATTTTTGATATGTATTTGTGTTTTTTAGCTGTTGGCATTATCCGTTAATCCTTATATTTCAGACCTCACTTGCCAGAGAGAAAACTGCACAATTTGATGCTTTACAACATGATGGTGCCATTTATAAGTTCAGTGACAGTGATGGAGACAATGATATAAATACTTTTAAAGATGGTGTTATGATTGAAAAAAATAGAAATGAATTTCAAGATGTGCAAAAAATTGACTCTGAGCTAGAAGATACACCTGGTTAGTATGAATTTATTAAAGATAATAGTAAATTCAGTAACACTAGTTAAAATAACGAGTTTTTCATTTACTTGAATCTTAGTAATAAATAGAAACATGTATAACTTCCTCTGCTGCTGTAGAATTAATTCCAAGTTATATAACTTCATGTTTCTGTTTTATGACATTCCTGTGAGGTGATTTGTACAGTAAGAGGGGGTCTACTACATAATGAGAGAAACAGTACCTGATTGGGTTTTCATATAATTAAATCTTAGTAATAATTTAGTATACTTACTGGACTTCCTTTGCTGATGCAGAACTAATTGTGTTTTATATCTTTTCTGATACTTCTGTAAGTGTTGCCCATACTAGTGAGAAACAATACAGTTATTTCAGGGAACTGCTATTGCTACATCTTGTCTCATAGTTTTTTGTACTGTTTTATCATTCTCACTTGTCCCTGTATAAATTATCTATATTCATTGAAACTTACCAGTGATGTTATAACTTTTATGATTAACATTATGTAGAGCTGAGTGATTAGTGTAATTTACTAATCGACTAATTGTAAGGCTCATTAATTGATTACTTTCCAGTAATCAGTTATTGTCATGGTAATAATCTTCCTATTTTCAGCCTTTTCTTTTTTAAATATTTCTGAAATTACCATTGCTTAACATAGACATTTTCAGTGTTTCTGGTAGCAGTCCTCATCTGCATATTTTGCAATGAAAAGTTATTTTGGTGAAAATGTTTGCCACAAGTTTCTTTTAAAGGTAATCTGATCATTTCTACTTGGAAAATCCATAATCTCAAGATAACTTTGTGGTTGCCATTTTTGCTTTTAAAATATGCACAAATAAATGGACTCACATGGGAATTAAATATATTGATAAGCAGCAAATAATTAAATGCATGGAGTGAGGAACATTGCACTCCCTAAAATGTACTGTAGTAGAAGTATCTGCTATACACCAGAAATAATGGAAGTAGGGTGGTGTTATTGCAGTTCAAAAATGGAGGATAATTTGTAATCACTTATGCTAGTCATACTCTGAAGGATCATAAATGCAGATACTGTATGCCAAAGAGCAAATTGCCTGTAATTATTGTCTTTTTAAAACACTTCCAACTCTACTTGTATGCTAAAAAGTTCCCTGTTTGAGTGGACCATGGATCATGGTCTGATGAACTTTAAAATCCTAAACAAAAAGTGAGATCCTATCAAAATTTTCAAATGTTAAATCTTAATTTTCTTGTCAAAAGTTTTGTACATGACTTTTATTCATTAGCATTTTTCAGGAACTTGCTGTTTTTTTCACAGCCTTGGTCCTCCAAGCCAGTCATTTATCCTGTCTTTTATCATGCCTGTTACTTGTTCACTTATCTTTTAGTATTCACACCTTTCCATCATGTTTCCGATCCCTTACTTCCTACTTTCAGTTTTCACAACTTTTCTGGACGTTATGGGGCTCTCAATTAGGCATGCTTTATACATATCCGTGCCACACACTTTTACCAACAGTCCTGGAGCTTAATATTCACACCCCATCATTCAAACTTAGTATGTCATTTAAAGTTTTATTCGCTCTAGTAAATTTTCTGAATTCACCTCAGAATAACTCTTAATTCCACAAGTTGGGTGAAGAGAAGCAGAAGTTTCTGAGCACCTCTGGTTGTCTAACAAGCCCTTTCTTAGATTTTAAAACCATAATAACTGCCAAGTCGATGCAATACAATATGAGATAATTGAAGGCCCAGGTCCTGGATATCATGTGGGAGTTCTTAAAACTATTTCTATTATAACACCCAGACCATACAGTAGGTGATTCCACTAGTGGATAGCTGCTATGATTAATGTTTGGGGACTCGGGGAAGAGCAACTGAAGAATCCATGACTACTTGCTCTGCAGCAAGGTAAAGCACTTCTGGATCAGATATGATATGAATATCTGGAGTAATTAGGACGTTCTTTAGTTGAAGTGCACAAGTTGACACATCAGCAGCTAGGAAAGGCCCCTTATGATAAGATGGTGAAGGAACAGATATACCAAAGTGGAGAGTGAGTGTGACTTTGGTATGTACCAGCAGCACCAAAGCCTCATGATTCTGGCTGGATCAGACCATATCTTGTGATCTGTTGAGGTGGTTCTTTGATGTATGAGGTACAGCAGCCAAAGGGTGTGCACAAGTGTCATACATGTTGATCAGCTACCTTCTTACATAACTGATAAATCTATTGAGGTAGATGCTATCTTATAACACTGAAACCTAGGAGATGAGGAAGGAAGAATTGACAGTACCTACCTGATTGTTAGGGATGAGTCAGATAAGGAAATACCAGCTCTGGAGTCAATATTGAGTTCCATCTGTCCACACAACCTTCAGTGATGACCATCGAACCATTATGTGCATATTAAACTGAGCAAATTGACAGATTATTTATTTATGGCTGAACAGAATAAACAAAGAAAAAGTAATTAATATAAAAAAAAGTGGAATTTTATATTTTCGTTGCCTTCTAGGTTAGATTAGTTTGTTTCTTGTGTTAACTTGGTTTAATATTTTACATTTTTTCACTGTTAATGTTATTCAGTTATAAGTTGTTTTTTTTTGTATCTTCACTACTAGTCATTTCTAATTGGGGGTAAGTTGTGAGTCAACCTTTGTTTTTGTTAACTCAGTTACTTTTTATTCTCATATTCTTTAGGGTAAGTTTTCTTTTTGTGTCCTTTATCCTATCAGTACCTTTAGTGGTTTTGTACTTTAAGTGTTACTTATTGTTTTACGTTTTAGGTCAATTTTCTCAGTTTTATAGGTGTGTTACTTTCAAGCTCTTCATAGACTACATGTTTCCAAGTTTTTGTTAGTTCATTAGTTCTGTGTACTTCAATTTCTTTAATTTGTGTCTTTTTGGCTACACTTCACGCCATTTCCGTTCTTTTTACGGGTTCTCTATGAGGGTTTCTGACTTCTGTTTTGCTCCCCCACTACTCTTTTCCCAGATATCTTCTTCTCCTCCTTAGGATCATACCTTGTCTGGTCATCTTGCTCAGTCTGTTTGTGTGCTACTACACAATGAAGCTATCTAACATGTGGAGCCCACTCAACCAGGAGTTTACTCCCATCTTTCATTGTCTCCCTATACATGGAAGTTTAAAGTCCCTTTCTTGATCTGTCCTGGCTGTATACTTATCTGCAGTTGCCTCGCTTCACCATGGAGTCCTACTTCTCACTTTGATGGTTTTTTATGTCCTAGTTCCATGTTCTTTTCTTTGGTTCTTCTAGGTGAGTTTGACTTCCTGTTCTGGGTGCTCACAGACTGTCTTTCTTCCGCCCTGTATGTGTTTTGTGGAGTGATATGCTCTTTTGCACTTCATCTTCACTCGTTAAGTCTTCAGACTCACATTTCATTGATGATAGGCTTCTGCTCGCTTCTTCCTGTGCCTGGTCAGAGATGTTTCTCAGGTGGGTTTCTTTTCTGGCTGGAGAAGTCCTTTACTACTTTTATTTGGTCGAGCACAGATTTTTCCACTTTGGCTCCTGGATATTGAGCAGACAGTCACATCTGCCATCCCCTTGTCCTTCTCTCTATATCCGTGAGGTTCTTTCTTTTTTGGGATGTGGTCTACCTTGGAAGTGCTCATTCACTTGGGTCAGACACACATGTACTCCCTTCATTGGATACTTCTTGATCAGTGGAACTTCCCTCATGATCCCTTGGACATTCACATTTTCCTCGATTCCTCTGAGTTTTTGGGTCGGTAGTCAGTTGAGGAGGTTGCTCTCCATATCCACATCCCGGTACCTTGATAGTTCATTGGGCTTTGTATCCTTCCCTGCAGGGGAAAATGGTTTTGGTTGTTTCTGCAATTCCACTACCATCAGCTTTATCACCTAAAAAGGAAGAACCACATACCGATCTCTCTCTGGTCAGATTCTGGATTTTGTGTACTGGGCCAATGTGACCGTGACATGACTATTCAGGGGACCATGTTTCCGAAGTTCTGATTGTTGTGGCTGATATCTTATTGTGTCCCCACCAGGTTCTCCACGGAGTATTCTCCTCATCCTGACATTTTTCTGTGGGTGTGTTCTCATATTTTTGTGTTTCCCATTCACTGGTATGCCACACTTTTTTTCTTTTAGTCTTCAGTTCCTCACCCTTCAGCTGTGGAGATAGATGCTTTCAGTCAAGATTGAAGAGGTCTTCACCTATATGCCTACCTTCCAATTTGAATCATCTTCTGGGTCTTTTCCCTTATGTAGACCAAACCTTGTTGTGCACTGGTGGTTCTTCTGTATCGGTTGCTCAGATGTGGTTCCCTGTGCTCTGGCCCTTACTGGAGCAACACACCTTATCCTTTTCTCTGTCCTCTCTGCTTCTCAGTCATCTGCAATCTAACATTTTATCATCCAGACTTCTCCACACTCCTTCTTTCTGAGTGACTTTTATTCAGTCACATGCCTTGGCTCAGGGGCTCCCTCTATTTAGACTCATCTTCTTCTGGGTCTTTTCCCTTATCTAGACTCCCTCCTTCTTGTGTTCTGTTATTTGCTCCAGATTGACCTGCTCTGACATAGTTCCCTATGCTGTGGCTCTTCATAGAGCAACAGACCCTGCCCTTTTCTCTCCTCTATCCACTGCAATTGGTTGTTTTCCATCCTGATATTACCATACTATGTCTTTCTCTGTGTGTTTTGTCCACTCCTGTACCTCAGCTCAGGGACTCACACCTTGTGTCACATCTTTCATTGCCTACATCTTTCACCTTTCCTCTTTGTCCTATGGACTAGAGGCATAAGTCTTGCTTCAATCTTTGGTCTTCTTTCATTTCCCAAGGCTTTTGTCCCTCCTTCCACACGTGTCCCAGCTCTTCATCTGGTTGTATGATCAGGGTTTGTCTGTTTTAACTGTTGCTCTTTATAGAGCTTCTCTGTCAAACTTCCTCCTTTCTCCCTCTACCATAAAGTTTCTCTTCCCCAAGTAGTTACATTTCTTTCATCTGGTGAATCTGACAAGTTTCCTTTGTTCTGTCGGATTGGGTTCTCCATGTTGTTCTTAAGGTCCTTTTCGGTTCTCCTTTTGAACCCTTTGCAATTTGTTCCTTGTAACATATTTCTCTTATGACCTCAGTTCTCCCCCTCCTGGCATGCGGTCTTTGTTGTTCTAATTTTTATGCCATTCTTTACAATTTCTCATATGTTTTTCCTTATCTAGATTCAGTAGATTCCTGAATTTTGACTGCCTGGGTAGGTTGTTTTGCTTTTTCTCCTCCTTCCTTCCCTTCCTTTTCCCACCTGTATTCCTATTTGTTTCCCAATCATTTCCTTTCTCCAGTTCATTCACTGCTTTGTTCTTTGGCTCATACTGTCTCCTTTCATTATTCTCTTTCCTGTCTCATTGTTCCATGGCATTCCTGTTTCCCCTAATCTTTCTCCTATTACACTCACAGGTTGGATTAGTCAACTCTTACACCTGGTGTATTTGGTTGTGTCCCTGGCCAGTTGCCATCTACATATTGTTTCTTCACATCTAATTTGTCATCTAACTCTGTCTTTTGCTGCTCAGTGCCACCATTGTTTGGAGGGGATCCTTCAGGCCGGTATGTGGATAACTCCCTATACTTTTGTCACTCTTTCTCTGCACAACTTCACTGTGTCTTCCTCAGGCAGATATTATCTTCCTCCTGTGGCGATTTTACACACGTCTGTTTGCCTATGACTGGGTAAGTCGTCCTTTTTTTCTCTCTCTCATTTATCTTTGCTTATGCATCATGTTTAAGGATCCCACCTGGTGGCAGGTGTTACCTGGTCAGGTATGCTGAATCTTATATCTGAGCACTACTATATCTGTATATTTTCCCAATGCTAACTGTGGAGATGAGGTGTTTATATATATATGACCATTGGATGCTTTTCCAGTGGTGTATGCGTATCCATATATATATCACATTTTTTTATCAATATCTATCTATCTATCTATATATATATATATATCCTGAGGACTGTCACTCATGGATTTCATGAGTAAAGCAGATAGGGATTTTTGCCCGTCCCTACTGACCCGTGATTCTTACAATCTGGGTCTTTCTGCTTTTCAAAATAGGGAAATGTAGACACCCATTGCACTGTCTCTGATGGGTTGTTCCTCTGGTCTCCCCCTTTCCTGTCTCTTCTAGTGGAGCACTGGGGACCTTGCCACTTCCAGTTCTCAGTTGCTGGAGAGGTGGACTATGGAGGTTTCTTCACGAGTGGGTTTTGTACAATAACACAAGCTCTTAGCCATATATACTCACTTGATGGGAAGAGAGCTATCATTGTTATGCTGCATATTATACACACATTATGGCATGAAATGTATTGTGCAAGATACTTCCACTGGATGATTTCTGCCAAGATGAACCACACTTGACATAATCCAATGTATACCAAAGGGCTTTCCCTGGATGTTTTTGCCTGGGTGGGCCTCACTTGGTTATCTTGATATTAATCCAAGGCACTTCCCCTGGATGTTTTTGCCCAGGCAGACAACACTTGTTGATTTTGCAGACTTATACAAGGCATTTTCATGTTGTTTTTGTCCTTGGCCCACACATTGTATCCCAAGGTGCTTCCCCTGGATGTTTTGTGCTTGAGCAAACTGCACTTTGCCTATTCATATATGGTCCCCTAGCCATGTATTCTATTCATTTCCACCCTATTTATCTTTTGGTATTTAATTAGATGTATATCATGGTTAAAGAATTTATTGATGTATTTTGTGGTGCTTCATAGTTAAAAGGTATATTCGTACTGTTGCATCTGTGTTTAAAAGATGTGAAATTTATAAGATATTTGTTTGAAAGCTAGAAAGGGTTAACCTAATTCTTCACGAGTGAGAATTGAAAGTTTATTGGTCGTAAGAATATGAGTGATTATCCCCTTGGGACAAGCTTAAAATAGCAAAGACAGGAAAGTATGGTGTATGAAAAATACTCTGAGTTGTTATCTTTTCATAGTTTTATGATGTCAATTAAGTTAATTTTGTTTCATGCTACTTTTTTTCTTTGTTATTCTCAAATTTAAGCATATCCTGCTATTCCCCATAGAGAACATAGCTTATTGCAATGTTGTGTAAGGATATCAACATCATTAACCTTCAGTGACTGATACCTAGAGGTTACAGCTTTATATGTGTGTAATTAGGATAGCACATCATGTGGTAACACTAACCTAACTGTATAAACATGAGGTTTCTTCAAATCTAAAGAACCAAAACTTGTTATATAAGATACTGTATTAATATAATGGAAAGCTACCTGTACTTCTTAGGAGTTATTTTTTCTTGTAGAATTCTAGTTTTTATAAAACTATTGTTAAAAGTCATTACATGAGGACGTTTCTTTCTTTTTTGTTAAAACATAACTCCAAAAGAATCATTTCAAAACAGTAAAGAAGACAAAAATGTAGAATTAACAAACATAAAACCTGTGTTTTTCATCCCTTGGTCACATTTCCCTCCTAGCATTTTGTATACTTTGGATAACAAAGGTTTCAATTGTATATATTTATTTATTTTATGTTTTCAAATTTAATTATATTCAAGAGAAATGTTTCTTATTATTTTACTTATTACTTTCATTATTTGATTTTTAGATGTAAAGATGGAC